TGGGACGTCTCAAAACATAGCACAGAAAGACAACATACCTCTTCTCTCTCAATGAATCCCGTGCACCGCAGGTCGTAGAGACGGAAGGCAACTGGTGCATGGCGAGCGCATGCATGGGAGAGAGGCGAGGGGACGGAACACGGAGGGGAGGGCGAGGGGAGAAAAAGCGCGCAAGAATGAGAGCTGAGCAGAGCACACATGCGAGGGAGGTCAGGGGAGAGATGCAGAGAGGGAGGGGCAACGAGTGGCGAGAATGGGAGCAGAGTACACAGGGAGGGGCGCGAGAATGCGCGTGCACGTCTGCAGATGTGTGGTTACATGGGAGCCATGGTTGTAGAATTTAAACCCCAGGAGCTTGTGCTGGAAAGACGAACTTCTGGGTGGTTGTGGTTGTTGATTGATTAGGCTCAGAAATCGACAAGGCGGATGGTGAGAGTTCAGTGGGAGGGAGGGACTGACAGGCGATTTTTTCGGGAGTGGGGGCACGGGGATGGAAGACGCTGAGTGAGCGCACAAACTCCCCGAACTCAATCACTCCGTTGCGCTTAACGTCGAATAAATCAAACACCTGTGCAGGGGATGAGGCACATATGTGCACGCGTGCACACAGGCACATGCATGCATGCATGCATGCATGCATGCATACAAATGTACACAGATGCATACACATGCCATGCACACAGACATGCTCACATGTATACACATGCCACGCAGACACACATGCTCACATGCATACACATGCATGCAGACACACATGGTCACATGCATACACATGCACACACACATGGTCACATGCATACACATGCACACACACATGCTCACATGCATACAGATGAACTCATACACCCATGCACACATACATAAAACACACACACGAGTGCCGTGCAGGAACAGCCTCTTTGAAGATGCTATAGCGTGCGAGATGCTCAGTGCTCGGTGCTCGGTGCTCGGTGCTCGGTGCTCGGTGCTCAGTGCTCAGTGCTCAGTGCTCAGTGCTCAGTGCTCAGTGCTCGGTGCTCGGTGCTCAGTGCTCAGTGCTCAGTGCTCGGTGCTCAGTGCTCAGTGCTCAGTGCTCGGTGCTCAGTGCTCAGTGCTCGGTGCTCGATGAGCATGGATTGACGCCCAAAACGCTCAAAGGCTTTGATAACCACGCCCATGCAAAAGATCTGTACAGCCCGTTACGACCTACAGCCGCTCTGCCTGCCACAGCCAGTCTTTCCACAGCTACCACAGCTACCACGCCCTTCAGGATCTTTCTCTTTACCCCTCACCCTTTAACTCCTACTTTATCAACCAGGTAACCCTTCATACTCCCTCCCTCCCCCCATCACGCCCCCGCCACCCCCCAAACACCACCCTCTCCTCCCCACTCCTTCCGCCCCTCCTCCCGTCCCAACAAGCCCCCTCCCCCTTCTTCCAGGATTCTTCATTCAGATGGCATCCCAGTCCAGTCCGGGAATTCAGTTAACGTCTGGCATTCTTTAAACTATCCTCCCGCAGCTTGGGAATTCAAAACCCTGTCCGATTTTTGACAAGCATAGCCCGGCGTGCTTGACTACCTCCCCCAGCACCACCACACACCCTGTGCGCTACCTTCTTCCCCACCACTCACCCTGTGCGCTACCTTCTTCCCCACCACTCACCCTGTGCGCTACCTTCTTCCCCACCACTCACCCTGTCCGCGAATAGGTTCTCCCTCTCGCTGTTGTCAAACAACGCCAGCTGAAACTCCTCCTGCCATGCACACACCATACATGCACCGCATATACGTGTGCATTGCAGGCACACATGCAGAGAATGCATGCATGGGAGTGTACACACGCAGAACAGGCGCACATGTAGAGCAAGCACACGTGTAGAACATGCACACATGCAGACCATGCACAATGCAGAGCAGGCACACGTGCAGAGCATGCACGCATGTGGAGCATGCACACAGATACGGAAGAAATGAAGTAGCGGGTGAAGAGGGAGGAGAAGCGGGGGGCAGCGGCAGGAAAACAGGGTAAAGGTCATCGAAGAGAGGAGCAAGAGTAGCAGGGAGGGATGCTGGATGGGCCTCAAAATTCGACTTTTGAGGCGCCTCGCAAGGGCAGCAGGGACGCGGAATGGGCCACATTACATCTGGAACGCGCTCGGGTTAAGGCGTGATTCGACATTGAGTGATTTCCTACCTTGTGAAAGAGCCTGTCGTCGATGAGCAAGCTGTTTATCGAGTCGACTCAACCACCACCTGATTACCTCCGGAACGGAGGCGTGATTCGGTATTGAGTGATTTCGTTACCCGTACCTTGTGAATGAGCCCGTCGTCGATGAGCGAGCTGCTTATCCGCTTGAACAGCTCGTACAGCGACTCCACCTCGCTCTCGCTAACTGCGCACGCACACGGAGGGCACGTGCCGGCACGTGTGGACAGTATGAGCGCGCGGAGCGGAGAGGCGGGGTGCGGAGAGAAGGGGAGAGGAGGGAAGGGGAACGGAGAGAAGGGGAACGGAGAGAAGGAGAACGGAGAGAAGGGGAACGGAGAGAAGGGGAACGGAGAGAAGGGGAACGGAGAGAAGGGGAACGGAGAGAAGGGGAACGGAGAGAAGGGGAACGGAGAGAAGGGGAACGGAGAGAAGGGGCGCGGAGAGAAGGGGCGCGGAGAGAAGGGGAACGGAGAGAAGGGGAACGGAGAGAAGGGGCGCGGAGAGAAGGGGCGCGGAGAGAAGGGGAACGGAGAGAAGGGGCGCGGAGAGAAGGGGCGCGGAGAGAAGGGGCGCGGAGAGACTGGGCGCGGAGAGACGGGGCGCGGAGAGACGGGGCGCGGAGAGAAAGGCGCATGAAACAACTCGGCCACCAGCGGGATTCCCGACCCCGCTTCGCAGGCTTCGGAGAAGCGAGAGCGACTCGAAAATACAATACGACGAAAAACACGAGAAGAAGAACAAGAGGAAGAAACAAGAGTCGACGACAAGAGAAGAGAAGCAAAAGTCGCGACGCAATTCGCAATGCAGCAGCGGCACGCACACGCGGTCTCCCGAGCCAGCACGGCGGGGTCCTCGTATCCGGGAGGCGGCTTGTTGGGCACGGACTGGAAGCACCCCATTAGCTCGCAGCACCCGGCCAACCACCCCACCGCATGCGGTGCCGTTATTCCCCACGGCAATCCGCTCGCCTGTCGCGCTTCCCCTGGCCCACTGCGCGCGGCCTGAACCGGAACTGTGGCGGTAAGCGAAGGTGACTGTGACGGTGCAGGAGAGGGTGCGACTGTGCTCGTGAAAGTGCGGCAGTAGCTGGTACCGTGGCCGAGGCACCAGCAGGGGAAGCAGTGGCAGCTCCTGCTGCCGGCCTCCGATGCCACATGCGACCCGCGGAGCGACCGCCTTGCGCCCGGCTTACCCGCCACCGTGCCTCGGAATCAAATCAGATCGGATCGAATCGCGCACAGAACCCGAGTACAGACAGGCTATGAGGGGGCGGCTATATGAGCGGTAGTATGACGCATGTGCGCGGGTTAAGAACGCGCAAGGGTTCGCTGTACGAGTACGAGAGGTATATGAGCCGATCGTATATAAGTCAAACCGTTTAGTTCTACGGCAGCGAGATTCTAGGGCAGTCAATGCCGACTGCCGTGGGACTAGGGTATAACTTGAGGAGTTTTAGGCGACTAATGGCTAAGAATAAGGGAAGCTGCTTGAAGAATAACGCTTGGACATATGAACACACAGCTCAACGGCTTACTGTTAGTGTCCTGGCACGCGAATCGAAGTCTGAGCGAGCTCACATAATAATCAAAACAAGAGAGAATGCCAGGGAAACGCTGTTACGCTCGGGCAATGCTCGAGATCCGTCCGCCGCGCTGAACGGGGGAAGGTGCCCCCAACGGGAAGGTCGTGTTTTCTCCCATTTACAGTATCTCGAATGCTCCGTAGTTTTGAATTCCAGGAGAGTGGAGAGAGGGGAGTCTCGGTCCAGATCGGTGCCAGTGAAATTTTTACACCCTGAAAGTATCCCCATCAAGCGGGACCCCATACAGACCACGCGGAAACGAGCGCCACGCGAGTATTTCAGAAAGATCAATGCAACATGAATAAAGCTGCCCGTAAAATTTAGCTGCAAGGCCCGCCAATCAGTGCAAAATGAGCTCCAGAAACCAACCAAAACGAGTTTTTCTTGAAAGGCTGTCGTGTCATGCTGTTGTGGGGATGGCCAATGAGGTGTTGGCTTTCGGGAAAAGCGGACAAATCTGGGGAGCAGTTCAGCAAATCCGGGGGTTCCACCCGTTGAAAATGTAGATTCCCAGAAATTGCTACTTTACAAGCTGATTCGGAAAAGCGTTGCGAGTGTGGGTGTTTAGGGTGCAAGCTTTCAAGCTGATACAGCAAATGTTACAGGTTTCGGCTGTTTCCGTGGCTTCACGCTCACGAAATTGGCATTCCGGTGAGGCTGCCTGATTTTGCGATGCCTCGAAGTTTGCTCTCTGCTGACTTCAAGGGACCTGACTTCCCCCCCTTGCCGCCAGTTTCCTCTCTCTACGGAGTCTGCTGATTAGCAATGAGGATTCTCGGAGGTATTTGGAAGGAATCTCACCTTCTGACGCGTACCATCGTTGACAACGAGTTTCTAGGGAACAGCGAGCTCAGATGGCCAGCTAGTAGTAGAATCCATGTCGTCCACTACCATAGCTTCGCCTATCCATGGCGGATCTCCCTCCAGAGGTGCACGCGCGTAACATTCGCACGGACAAGAACCACGAGCCGCTCCGTAGTAAACATTTACAACTCTCAGAAGGCAGCTCGTCCGCACCAGGGACTCCAGCATACTCCGCGTCGCACGCCGCCGCTAGCAATGATAGTAGTAGTAATACCGGCGCGTCCGTGTCGGCCCGTGGGAGGAGACTGTCGTCGTCTGGCTCCCGTCACAGAGCGGGAAAGCGACATTCGCTGCTGCTAGCGCGCACTGCCAGCCATGCGACCTCCCTTACACGCTCTCCCGCATCTACTAGTACGAACAATGCGATGGCTTCCCGTGCTGTCCGATCAGGCTCCGTACATCAGTCCTCGACCGTCCGATCGTCCACGTCATCCTCTCGTCTGAACCACAGAAAGCGAAGCCTTACACGAGGTTCTAGCAACCCGGCGTCTTTAGAGGCGTCCTCTTCTGGTGTGCCGGCAAACTCATCCACGGCAAACGCTGTGCCAGCCGGAACCTCCGCAGATGCAGCCGCGTCGGATCCGAACGATATCCCGAATGTCGGTCCAGAATCTGCAGCTGCGAAAGCTTCGAAGATTCCATACCTCACCGACTCTTCAGATTCATGTGACAATGCCTTGGATTCCGAGGGGACTTGGCATAGCGATTCCGCGACAGCAGATGGGGAAGGCGCAGGGGGGAGCCGCTTGGACAGTGGGGAGAGGGAGGGTGAAGGTAGGCAGAGCCTCGGATACAGAAGCTTCCTTCCTGTGCTTCCCAGCTCGCTTGGGCCCGCTCCTGCCGTTTTGAACCATGACCAAGGTAGTGCCTATTCCAGCCAAGGTGCTCTCACCACCGGAATCGACGCCTTTACTGCGAATTCTTATTCGAATGGTGGTGAAGCCGCACCAGATGCCATGGAGGATTTCGAAGAAGGCAGCAGCGACAACCAGGCTGTTCAAGTACCTGGTTTGCCACGAGGTCTGCCAATGCCCCCTCCTGCTCGTGTCTCCCCTGCACGCGTCTCTCCTGCACGCGTCTCTCCTGCACGCGTCTCTCCTGCTAGGCCTCCCCTGGCGTCATCCCTCTCAGCACCTCCGCGCTCCCTTGCCTTGTACGGAGGACGGAGTGTAGCACCCGGTGCAGCTGACTCTAGAAGCTCCTTTCAAAAACCTGCTTCGTTACAAGCAGCAGCCTCAGGCTCGTTGCACGCACGACCAATATCGAGCCGTAGCTTACCATCTGGGGCTATAATCGACGTGGAAGGGGGTGCAGCTGCGGAGGAGGGTGGGGCAGAGAAGATATTTGTGGCTGTGCGAGTGAGGCCGTTGAGTGGGAGGGAGGTGGCGGCAGGGGAGGATAGCGTGTGGCAGGTGCCTGATGCCTGCTCTATCCGCTCTGTGCTCCCTTCCACTGCGCCTGCTTCGTTGCAAGGAGACCGCTCAACGCCTGCTCAGACTTACCACTTCGGTACTGCCTTTATTTTGTCAGAGAGATGCGATGTGTCGTGCACGCATGCATACTACCCTTCCTTTTGTTTAAGTTGAATATACCTGCAGTGCTCCACAGCCTTTCCCGCCTTTCTATCTTAACTCAGAATAGAATAGAATAGAAGTGCTTCCCCTCAATATCCTCAGCCAGCTTCTGTAGTTTACTGACGTTCTTGAACTCGCCTCAGTTCTCTTGCATCTGCATCTTCATAAGATTCTGATACCATATTGCTTCATCTTTATGTACTTTCCCACGTCCTATCTCCCTCCCCTGTCGCTACATGCAATTTCCCTTGCATTTCCTGCATCCCCTCAATCCCGTGCATCCCGTGCATCTCCTGTGCGTGTGCGTGCAGACAGGGTGTTTGACGAGCAGGCGTCGTCCCTTTTAGTGTACCAGCACGCAGCCAGACACGTGGTGCTCTCCGTGCTGCAAGGGGTCAATGGTTCGTCCCTTTATCTGCCCGTTCATCTGCCCTTTCACCTGAACTTTCACCTGCCCCTTCACCTCTCTCTTCACCTTCCCGTTCCCCCGTTCCCTCACCTTCCCTCTTCCGGCTCTTCATTTCAGCACCTCCCTCTTCACAAGTGCTATTCTGGGGCTTCTTTCTCATGCTATACGTGTGGTTATCCTATCCCTGCATGTCATTCCTACAACCGCATCATCCCTTTCCCTTCTGTGGCTGGTTCCCTCCCCCTCCTTCGCTCTCCTGCGTCCCCAGGCACCATCTTTGCCTATGGCATGACAGGGAGTGGCAAGACGTACACCATGGCAGCAGTAACGGAGATGGCTATACAGGAGATATTCGACCACATAGCCAAGGTGGGGCTGGGAAGGGATACCCCATTTTCTTGCACTTGCCACGATAAAGGTAGAGTGTAGTGCACTCCTAACCGTTCCTAACCAGTGGTGAGGATGTATGCTGTGGTGCGCCTAAATTTCTTAAAAGATTCACTTGCATTGCATGTCCAGGCCAGCAGCAGTAGCATCCACTCTGCCGTCCTTCTCCCTCCCCGTCTTCCGTCTCTCCCGTCCCCTCCTTTCCCACCTCAGCACGGTGGCGGGCGAGAGAATTCCCTGCAGCTCCCAGCTATGGAGATTCACAACGAGCAATTCCAGGACCTGCTAGGTTTAGACGTCTCAAAAGTTCCCCCTGCCAATTCCTTCCACCCCACCTCCACCCCACCTCCACCCCATGCCCTTCCACTGCAGCACGGCAGCGGGCGGGAGTATTCCCTGCAGCTGGAAGCTATGGAGATCTACTACAACGAGCAAGTGCGGGATCTGCTAGCTTTTGAGACGTCGCAAAGCCCTCCCCTTACCCCTCCCCCTTACCCCTCCCCCTTCCCCCACTGCAGCACGGCAGCGAGCGGGAGTATTCCCTGCAGCTGGCAGCCATGGAGATCTACAACGAGCAAGTGCGGGATCTGCTAGCTTTTGAGACGTCGCAAAGCCCTCCCCCTTACCCCTCCCCCTTACCCCTCCCCCTTCCCCCACTGCAGCACGGCAGCGAGCGGGAGTATTCCCTGCAGCTGGCAGCCATGGAGATCTACAACGAGCAAGTGCGGGATCTGCTGGCTGCACCAGGGGAGAACACCCCGCTCAGAGTGCTGGATGGCGCAGAGGTGGGAGGAGAGAAGGGGGGGAAGGGGAGGGGGAGTTTGTGCGAGGGCAAAGACGGGAGAGTGAGTTTTCAGATGCCTCAAGGCAACGAGCAAGTCAGGGACCTGCTGAGAGAGTGTAACATGGTCTTAGGAAAGGAGGTGACAGGTGTGTGGGAAAGGGGAGGAGATGGGGGAGGCGGAGTAAGGAGAGTAAGTAGGGAGAGGGGGTCGGGCGGGTGTAATGCTGCCTGCGTATCTCTGTCTCCTTTGGGGAAAAAAGCACAGGTTTGTGTATGGGTGGTGTTTGTCTATCCGTTGCATATGCGTTCTCATGTGTCTGCATAGCCCCTGGGCTGCTCTAGATGTGCTGCTGCTGCTGTCCCGGGATGGGGAGGGGAAGTGACGGGACGGATGGGGAGGAGTGGCCTGGCATGAGTATGATCCATTTGCTTATGGTTTCTGTGTGTGATATGTCACGAATGTGTGCTATGCGTGCTATGTGTGCTTGTGTGCTGTGCATGCGTACATGTGTGTGTGCTGTGCATGCGTACATGCATGTGTGCTGTGCATGCGTACATGCGTGTGTGTGTGCATGCGTACATGCATGTGTGCTGTGCATGCGTACATGCATGTGTGCTGTGCATGCGCACATGCGTGTGTGTGTGCATGCGTACATGCGTGTGTGTGTGCATGCGTACATGCGTGTGTGTGTGCATGCGTACATGCGTGTGTGTGTGCATGCGTACATGCATGTGTGCTGTGCATGCGTACATGCGTGTGTGTGTGCATGCGTACATGCATGTGTGCTGTGCATGCGTACATGCGTGTGTGTGTGCATGCGTACATGCATGTGTGCTGTGCATGCGTACATGCGTGTGTGTGTGCATGCGTACATGCGTGTGTGTGTGCATGCGTAAATGCATGTGTGCTGTGCATGCGTACATGCGTGTGTGTGTGCATGCGTACATGCATGTGTGCTGTGCATGCGTACATGCGTGTGTGTGTGCATGCGTACATGCATGTGTGCTGTGCATGCGTACATGCGTGTGTGTGTGCATGCGTACATGCGTGTGTGTGTGTGCATGCGTACATGCGTGTGTGTGTGTGCATGCGTACATGTGTGTGTGTGTGCATGCGTACGTGCGTGTGTGTGTGCATGCGTACGTGCGTGTGTGTGTGCATGCGTACATGCGTGTGTGTGTGCATGCGTACATGCGTGTGTGCTGTGCATGCGTACATGCGTGTGTGTGTGCATGCGTACATGCATGTGTGCTGTGCATGCGTACATGCGTGTGTGCTGTGCATGCGTACATGCGTGTGTGTGTGCATGCGTACATGCCTGTGTGCTGTGCATGCGTACATGCGTGTGTGTGTGCATGCGTACATGCGTGTGTGTGTGCATGCGTACATGCGTGTGTGTGTGCATGCGTACATGCGTGTGTGTGTGCATGCGTACATGCGTGTGTGTGTGCATGCGTACATGCGTGTGTGTGTGCATGCGTACATGCGTGTGTGCTGTGCATGCGTACATGCGTGTGTGTGTGCATGCGTACATGCGTGTGTGCTGTGCATGCGTACATGCATGTATGCTGTGCATGCGTACATGCGTGTGTGCTGTGCATGCGTACATGCATGTGTGCTGTGCATGCGTACATGCGTGTGTGTGTGCATGCGTACATGCATGTGTGCTGTGCATGCGTACATGCGTGTGTGTGTGCATGCGTACATGCGTGTGTGCTGTGCATGCGTACATGCGTGTGTGTGTGCATGCGTACATGCGTGTGTGTGTGCATGCGTACATGCGTGTGTGTGTGCATGCGTACATGCGTGTGTGTGTGCATGCGTACGTGCGTGTGTGTGTGCATGCGTACATGCGTGTGTGTGTGCATGCGTACATGCGTGTGTGTGTGCATGCGTACATGCGTGTGTGTGTGCATGCGTACATGCGTGTGTGTGTGCATGCGTACATGCGTGTGTGTGTGCATGCGTACGTGCGTGTGTGTGTGCATGCGTACATGCGTGTGTGTGTGCATGCGTACATGCGTGTGTGTGTGCATGCGTACATGCGTGTGTGTGTGCATGCGTACATGCGTGTGTGTGTGCATGCGTACATGCGTGTGTGTGTGCATGCGTACATGCGTGTGTGTGTGCATGCGTACATGCGTGTGTGTGTGCATGCGTACATGCGTGTGTGTGTGCATGCGTACATGCGTGTGTGTGTGCATGCGTACATGCGTGTGTGTGTGCATGCGTACATGCGTGTGTGTGTGCATGCGTACATGCGTGTGTGTGTGCATGCGTACATGCGTGTGTGCGTGCATGCGTACATGCGTGTGTGCTGTGCATGCGTACATGCGTGTGTGTGTGCATGCGTACATGCATGTGTGCTGTGCATGCGTACATGCATGTGTGCTGTGCATGCGTACATGCGTGTGTGTGTGCATGCGTACATGCATGTGTGCTGTGCATGCGTACATGCGTGTGTGTGTGCATGCGTACATGCATGTGTGTGTGCATGCGTACATGCGTGTGTGTGTGCATGCGTACATGCGTGTGTGCTGTGCATGCGTACATGCGTGTGTGTGTGCATGCGTACATGCGTGTGTGTGTGCATGCGTACATGCGTGTGTGTGTGCATGCGTACATGCGTGTGTGTGTGCATGCGTACATGCGTGTGTGTGTGCATGCGCACATGCGTGTGTGTGTGCATGCGTACATGCGTGTGTGTGTGCATGCGTACATGCGTGTGTGTGTGCATGCGTACATGCGTGTGTGTGTGCATGCGTACATGCGTGTGTGTGTGCATGCGTACATGCGTGTGTGTGTGCATGCGTACATGCGTGTGTGTGTGCATGCGTACATGCGTGTGTGTGTGCATGCGTACATGCGTGTGTGTGTGCATGCGTACATGCGTGTGTGTGTGCATGCGTACATGCGTGTGTGTGTGCATGCGTACATGCGTGTGTGTGTGCATGCGTACATGCGTGTGTGCGTGCATGCGTACATGCGTGTGTGCTGTGCATGCGTACATGCGTGTGTGTGTGCATGCGTACATGCATGTGTGCTGTGCATGCGTACATGCATGTGTGCTGTGCATGCGTACATGCGTGTGTGTGTGCATGCGTACATGCATGTGTGCTGTGCATGCGTACATGCGTGTGTGTGTGCATGCGTACATGCGTGTGTGTGTGCATGCGTACATGCGTGTGTGTGTGCATGCGTACATGCGTGTGTGCTGTGCATGCGTACATGCGTGTGTGTGTGCATGCGTACATGCGTGTGTGTGTGCATGCGTACATGCGTGTGTGTGTGCATGCGTACATGCGTGTGTGTGTGCATGCGTACATGCGTGTGTGTGTGCATGCGCACATGCGTGTGTGTGTGCATGCGTACATGCGTGTGTGTGTGCATGCGTACATGCGTGTGTGTGTGCATGCGTACATGCGTGTGTGTGTGCATGCGTACATGCGTGTGTGTGTGCATGCGTACATGCGTGTGTGTGTGCATGCGTACATGCGTGTGTGCGTGCATGCGTACATGCGTGTGTGCGTGCATGCGTACATGCGTGTGTGTGTGCATGCGTACATGCGTGTGTGTGTGCATGCGTACATGCGTGTGTGTGTGCATGCGTACATGCGTGTGTGCGTGCATGCGTACATGCGTGTGTGTGTGCATGCGTACATGCGTGTGTGTGTGCATGCGTACATGCGTGTGTGTGTGCATGCGTACATGCGTGTGTGTGTGCATGCGTACATGCGTGTGTGTGTGCATGCGTACATGCGTGTGTGTGTGTGCATGCGTACATGCGTGTGTGTGTGTGCATGCGTACGTGCGTGTGTGCTGTGCATGCGTACGTGCGTGTGTGTGTGCATGCGTACGTGCGTGTGTGTGTGCATGCGTACATGCGTGTGTGTGTGCATGCGTACATGCGTGTGTGTGTGCATGCGTACATGCGTGTGTGTGTGCATGCGTACATGCGTGTGTGTGTGCATGCGTACATGCGTGTGTGTGTGCATGCGCACATGCGTGTGTGTGTGCATGCGTACATGCGTGTGTGTGTGCATGCGTACATGCGTGTGTGTGTGCATGCGTACATGCGTGTGTGTGTGCATGCGTACATGCGTGTGTGTGTGCATGCGTACATGCGTGTGTGTGTGCATGCGTACATGCGTGTGTGTGTGCATGCGTACATGCGTGTGTGTGTGCATGCGTACATGCGTGTGTGTGTGCATGCGTACATGCGTGTGTGTGTGCATGCGTACATGCGTGTGTGCTGTGCATGCGTACATGCGTGTGTGCTGTGCATGCGTACATGCATGTGTGCTGTGCATGCGTACATGCGTGTGTGTGTGCATGCGTACATGCGTGTGTGTGTGCATGCGTACATGCGTGTGTGTGTGCATGCGTACATTCGTGTGTGTGTGCATGCGTACATGCGTGTGTGTGTGCATGCGTACATGCGTGTGTGTGTGCATGCGTACATGCGTGTGTGTGTGCATGCGTACATGCGTGTGTGTGTGTGCATGCGTACGTGCGTGTGTGTGTGCATGCGTACGTGCGTGTGTGTGTGCATGCGTACGTGCGTGTGTGTGTGCATGCGTACATGCGTGTGTGTGTGCATGCGTACATGCGTGTGTGTGTGCATGCGTACATGCGTGTGTGTGTGCATGCGTACATGCGTGTGTGTGTGCATGCGTACATGCGTGTGTGTGTGCATGCGTACATGCGTGTGCGTGTGCATGCGTACATGCGTGTGCGTGTGCATGCGTACATGCGTGTGTGTGTGCATGCGTACATGCGTGTGTGTGTGCATGCGTACATGCGTGTGTGTGTGCATGCGTACATGCGTGTGTGTGTGCATGCGTACATGCGTGTGTGTGTGCATGCGTACATGCGTGTGTGTGTGCATGCGTACATGCGTGTGTGTGTGCATGCGTACATGCGTGTGTGTGTGCATGCGTACATGCGTGTGTGTGTGCATGCGTACATGCGTGTGTGTGTGCATGCGTACATGCGTGTGTGTGTGCATGCGTACATGCGTGTGTGTGTGCATGCGTACATGCGTGTGTGTGTGCATGCGTACATGCGTGTGTGTGTGCATGCGTACATGCGTGTGTGTGCGCATGCGTACATGCGTGTGTGTGCGCATGCGTACATGCGTGTGTGTGTGCATGCGTACATGCGTGTGTGTGTGCATGCGTACATGCGTGTGTGTGTGCATGCGTACATGCGTGTGTGTGTGCATGCGTACATGCGTGTGTGTGTGCATGCGTACATGCGTGTGTGTGTGCATGCGTACATGCGTGTGTGTGTGCATGCGTACATGCGTGTGTGTGTGCATGCGTACATGCGTGTGCGTGTGCATGCGTACATGCGTGTGCGTGTGCATGCGTACATGCGTGTGCGTGTGCATGCGTACATGCGTGTGCGTGTGCATGCGTACATGCGTGTGCGTGTGCATGCGTACATGCGTGTGCGTGTGCATGCGTACATGCGTGTGTGTGTGCATGCGTACATGCGTGTGTGTGTGCATGCGTACATGCGTGTGTGTGTGCATGCGTACATGCGTGTGTGTGTGCATGCGTACATGCGTGTGTGTGTGCATGCGTACATGCGTGTGTGTGTGCATGCGTACATGCGTGTGTGTGTGCATGCGTACATGCGTGTGTGTGTGCATGCGTACATGCGTGTGTGTGTGCATGCGTACATGCGTGTGCGTGTGCATGCGTACATGCGTGTGCGTGTGCATGCGTACATGCGTGTGCGTGTGCATGCGTACATGCGTGTGCGTGTGCATGCGTACATGCGTGTGCGTGTGCATGCGTACATGCGTGTGCGTGTGCATGCGTACATGCGTGTGCGTGTGCATGCGTACATGCGTGTGCGTGTGCATGCGTACATGCGTGTGCGTGTGCATGCGTACATGCGTGTGCGTGTGCATGCGTACATGCGTGTGTGTGTGCATGCGTACATGCGTGTGTGTGTGCATGCGTACATGCGTGTGTGTGTGCATGCGTACATGCGTGTGTGTGTGCATGCGTACATGCGTGTGTGCTGTGCATGCGTACATGCGTGTGTGTGTGCATGCGTACATGCGTGTGTGTGTGCATGCGTACATGCGTGTGTGTGTGCATGCGTACATGCGTGTGTGTGTGCATGCGTACATGCGTGTGTGTGTGCATGCGCACATGCGTGTGTGTGTGCATGCGCACATGCGTGTGTGTGTGCATGCGTACATGCGTGTGTGTGTGCATGCGTACATGCGTGTGTGTGTGCATGCGTACATGCGTGTGTGCTGTGCATGCGTACATGCGTGTGTGTGTGCATGCGTACATGCGTGTGTGTGTGCATGCGTACATGCGTGTGTGTGTGCATGCGTACATGCGTGTGTGTGTGCATGCGTACATGCGTGTGTGTGTGCATGCGTACATGCGTGTGTGTGTGCATGCGTACATGCGTGTGTGTGTGCATGCGTACATGCGTGTGTGTGTGCATGCGTACATGCGTGTGTGCTGTGCATGCGTACATGCGTGTGTGTGTGCATGCGTACATGCGTGTGTGTGTGCATGCGTACATGCGTGTGTGTGTGCATGCGCACATGCGTGTGTGTGTGCATGCGTACATGCGTGTGTGTGTGCATGCGTACATGCGTGTGTGCTGTGCATGCGTACATGCGTGTGTGTGTGCATGCGTACATGCGTGTGTGCTGTGCATGCGTACATGCGTGTGTGTGTGCATGCGTACATGCGTGTGTGTGTGCATGCGTACATGCGTGTGTGTGTGCATGCGTACATGCGTGTGTGTGTGCATGCGTACATGCGTGTGTGTGTGCATGCGTACATGCGTGTGTGTGTGCATGCGTACATGCGTGTGTGTGTGCATGCGTACATGCGTGTGCGTGTGCATGCGTACATGCGTGTGCGTGTGCATGCGTACATGCGTGTGCGTGTGCATGCGTACATGCGTGTGCGTGTGCATGCGTACATGCGTGTGCGTGTGCATGCGTACATGCGTGTGCGTGTGCATGCGTACATGCGTGTGTGTGTGCATGCGTACATGCGTGTGTGTGTGCATGCGTACATGCGTGTGTGTGTGCATGCGTACATGCGTGTGTGTGTGCATGCGTACATGCGTGTGTGTGTGCATGCGTACATGCGTGTGCGTGTGCATGCGTACATGCGTGTGCGTGTGCATGCGTACATGCGTGTGTGTGTGCATGCGTACATGCGTGTGTGTGTGAATGCGTACATGCGTGTGCGTGTGCATGCGTACATGCGTGTGCGTGTGCATGCGTACATGCGTGTGCGTGTGCATGCGTACATGCGTGTGCGTGTGCATGCGTACATGCGTGTGCGTGTGCATGCGTACATGCGTGTGCGTGTGCATGCGTACATGCGTGTGCGTGTGCATGCGTACATGCGTGTGCGTGTGCATGCGTACATGCGTGTGTGTGTGCATGCGTACATGCGTGTGTGTGTGCATGCGTACATGCGTGTGTGTGTGCATGCGTACATGCGTGTGTGCTGTGCATGCGTACATGCGTGTGTGTGTGCATGCGTACATGCGTGTGTGTGTGCATGCGTACATGCGTGTGTGTGTGCATGCGTACATGCGTGTGTGTGTGCATGCGTACATGCGTGTGTGTGTGCATGCGTACATGCGTGTGTGCTGTGCATGCGTACATGCGTGTGTGTGTGCATGCGTACATGCGTGTGTGTGTGCATGCGTACATGCGTGTGTGTGTGCATGCGCACATGCGTGTGTGTGTGCATGCGTACATGCGTGTGTGTGTGCATGCGTACATGCGTGTGTGTGTGCATGCGTACATGCGTGTGTGTGTGCATGCGTACATGCGTGTGTGCTGTGCATGCGTACATGCGTGTGTGTGTGCATGCGTACATGCGTGTGTGTGTGCATGCGTACATGCGTGTGTGTGTGCATGCGTACATGCGTGTGTGTGTGCATGCGTACATGCGTGTGTGTGTGCATGCGTACATGCGTGTGTGTGTGCATGCGTACATGCGTGTGTGTGTGCATGCGTACATGCGTGTGTGCTGTGCATGCGTACATGCGTGTGTGTGTGCATGCATACATGCGTGTGTGCTGTGCATGCGTACATGCGTGTGTGTGTGCATGCGTACATGCGTGTGTGCTGTGCATGCGTACATGCGTGTGTGTGTGCATGCGTACATGCGTGTGTGTGTGCATGCGTACATGCGTGTGTGTGTGCATGCGTACATGCGTGTGTGTGTGCATGCGTACATGCGTGTGTGTGTGCATGCGTACATGCGTGTGTGTGTGCATGCGTACATGCGTGTGTGCTGTGCATGCATACATGCGTGTGTGTGTGCATGCGTACATGCGTGTGTGTGTGCATGCGTACATGCGTGTGTGCTGTGCATGCGTACATGCGTGTGTGTGTGCATGCGTACATGCGTGTGTGTGTGCATGCGTACATGCGTGTGTGCTGTGCATGCGTACATGCGTGTGTGTGTGCATGCGTACATGCGTGTGTGCTGTGCATGCGTACATGCGTGTGTGTGTGCATGCGTACATGCGTGTGTGTGTGCATGCGTACATGCGTGTGTGTGTGCATGCGTACATGCGTGTGTGTGTGCATGCGTACATGCGTGTGTGTGTGCATGCGTACATGCGTGTGTGTGTGCATGCGTACATGCGTGTGTGCTGTGCATGCGTACATGCGTGTGTGTGTGCATGCGTACATGCGTGTGTGCTGTGCATGCGTACATGCGTGTGTCTGTGCATGCGTACATGCGTGTGTGTGTGCATGCGTACATGCGTGTGTGTGTGCATGCGTACATGCGTGTGTGTGTGCATGCGTACATGCGTGTGTGTGTGCATGCGTACATGCGTGTGTGTGTGCATGCGTACATGCGTGTGTGTGTGCATGCGTACATGCGTGTGTGTGTGCATGCGTACATGCGTGTGTGTGTGCATGCGTACATGCGTGTGTGTGTGCATGCGTACATGCGTGTGTGCTGTGCATGCGTACATGCGTGTGTGTGTGCATGCGTACATGCGTGTGTGCTGTGCATGCGTACATGCGTGTGTGCTGTGCATGCGTACATGCGTGTGTGTGTGCATGCATACATGCGTGTGTGCTGTGCATGCGTACATGCGTGTGTGTGTGCATGCGTACATGCGTGTGTGCTGTGCATGCGTACATGCGTGTGTGTGTGCATGCGTACATGCGTGTGTGTGTGCATGCGTACATGCGTGTGTGTGTGCATGCGTACATGCGTGTGTGTGTGCATGCGTACATGCGTGTGTGTGTGCATGCGTACATGCGTGTGTGTGTGCATGCGTACATGCGTGTGTGTGTGCATGCGTACATGCGTGTGTGTGTGTGTGCATGCGCCTATCCCCCATGCGCCTATCCCCCATGCGCCTATCCCCCATGCGCCTATCCCCCATGCGCCTATCCCCCATGCGCCTATCCCCCATGCAGGGCGGCACTCTAGTGGAGAACCTCTCACGCCACGACGTGCGCTCTCCAGCACACCTGCTGCTGCTGCTGGACCAGTGCACTGGTGAGTGTGAGACTGTGAGAGGGGGGTTTGTGTGAGGGGCAAGTGTGTGAGGGAGGAGTGTGAGAGGGGGGAGTGCATGAGGGGCAATTGTGTGAGGTGGGAGTGTGAGAGGGGGGAGTGTGTGAGAGGCAAGCGTGTGAAGGGAGTGTGAGAAGGGCGATTGTGAGAGGTGAGAGTGTGTGAGACACGGGAGAGTGGGAGAGATTGCTTTTGTCCCCCTCTTCCAGCACATCCCATCCCACCTCTCTCAGTTCCTCCACCTTCGTCTCCCCCACCCACCACCCCCTCCCTAACCCACCCTCTCTCTCCCATCCATCCCCCATCCGCACCCCGTCTCCCCCCCACATCCCCCATTTCCTCCCCTCCCCTTCCCCACGCATGGCAGCCCAGCGCACAGTGGGGGAGACGCAGATGAACGACGCCAGCTCGCGCTCACACCTCATTGTGCAACTGGTGAGGCAAAGGAATCACAATGGTGGGGGTGGGCTTGCGGGTGAGGGTGAGGATGGGGTTGGAGATGAGGGTGGGGGTGTCACACAGCATATTCTTACTGCACACAATGCTAGCCAATAACTACTGCACACAATGCCAAGTTTTCAACTTTCCCCCCTTCTCACTCACTCGCTCGCATCCCCTTTCCCTCACTCCATTACTCCCCTGTCCACTACGTCTCTCTATGTGCCCCACGTGCCTGCAGACTGTGCAGAGCGAGCCCACCGCACCATCTGCCTCTCCACACCTCTCCACCACCTCCCTCTCCGCTGAACTCCCACCTGCTTCCACCGCTCCCGCTGATACTGCATTCCCTCACCCCACCGAGCCAAGGCCTACTGCGGCAGCAGATGATCCCCCCACCAGCGTCTCAGCTTCTTTCTCCTCCTCCTTTTCCCCCTCTGTCGCCTCCTCCTTCGCCTCCTCGTCCGTGCTCTCGTCCTCATCCCTCTCCCTCTCCGTCTCATCCTCCTCCGCGCCGCTTGCTTCATCCGTGCCTGGACTTGCTTCCCTGTCGGCACCTGTTCTACGTGCCACTCTGGTAATGAATCTCGTGAATATTTTCCAGAGTGTCGCCGAAAAATCACCGATGGGTTACTGATACATCTCCAAAACCAAAACACTAGCAGTACACCAGCAATACTTGAAGAATACATGACAATACATTAGCAACACGGTGCCAGCACAGCACCAACGCATCACATTTACATCAGCAATCCACCAATGCCGACCAATGCCTCTCACCCGTTGTCCTCTTTCATGTGACCTTCCCTCCGTCCACAAATAATTATTGAAAAAAAAAAGCGTACCCTCAATCTCTACGTGCTTCACGCTGCATGCATGGTGCATGGTGCATGGTGCATGGTGCATGGTGCCTTCCTTCTATGGGTGATCAGCGTTCCATGTCTTGTTTCCTCTCCCTCCGCCCCATCCTTCTCTTCTCCTTCCTTCCTCACTCTCCTCTCCTTCCCCTTCACACCTCCCCCCCTTCTCCTCCCCATGTGCCACCCTCAGAACCTGGTGGATCTAGCGGGCAGTGAGAGGGCAGAACAGATGCGCTTTGACTTTGCTCAAAGCTAGACACGAAACCCAGCCCCCCCTCTCTCCTCCCCATGTGCCACCCTCAGAACCTGGTGGATCTAGCGGGCAGTGAGAGGGCAGAACAGATGCGCTTTGACTTTGCTCAAAGCTAGACACGAAACCCAGCCCCCCCTCTCTCCTCCCCATGTGCCACCCTCAGAACCTGGTGGATCTAGCGGGCAGTGAGAGAGCAGGGCAGATGCAGTCAGAGGGGCAGCGGCTGAGGGAGGGAGCACACATCAACCGCAGCCTGCTCACTCTCAGCACCGTCATTCACAAGCTCAGGTGGGCACTTGCGCGTGCGGCACGAGTCTATGACTGAGGCACTTCAGAAGTAGGCTCACTTTTGAGGGGCATCAACCGCAGCCTGCGCACTCTCAGCGCAATCATTCACAAGCTCAGTTGCCTACCTACCTTCCTCTTCTGTCGACTCCAATGCCTGGTCGTCCTAGAACTGCAGCCTGGTCGTCCTTGTGCTGCCAGCCACTCGTGGCACTGTCAGCTACGCAGGCTGGTCCTGTCGTTTGTTCGCTCTTTTGTCAGCTGTCGATTATATCTGCACAGTGTGTGAAGTGCTCGTGTTTTGCATGGTCCGTGCTTGTGAGGCAAGGTTTTGGTATTATAAGGAGAAGGAACAGGCACGGTGGTGTGTGGGTAAGCTTCTGGTGGATTCTTTGTAAGGACAAGGACACAAGCGGAGAAAAGGAATAGATGCTACTCGCGTTAATCATACCACCACATGTACCTCCCTTACCCCCTTATCCTCCCTCCCACGCTTTATCCTCGTCCCCCCAGCGCACCTGTCTCTTCCCTCTCCTCCTCCTCCTCGTCCCCCTCCCGCGCCCCCCACATCCCCTACCGGGACTCCGAGCTCACGCTAATCACCCTAACCACACCAACGCTCCCACCTCGCCCCCCCCTCCCCCCTCCCACCCTGTACCCGTTTCCCTCCTCCCTCCAGCGCACCAGCAGCCTCCCTCACTTCCTCTTCCTCCACGCCACCCCCTCTCTCCTCCTCCTCCTCCTCCTCCTCCTCCTCATCCTCGTCCCCGTCCCGCACCCCCCACATCCCCTACCGGGATTCCAAGCTAACGCGCATCCTGCAGAGTGCCCTGGGGGGCAACGGCCGCACGGCCGTGCTGTGCACTGTGAGCGCTGCAGCATGCCACGCGGAGCACACACGGAATACGCTGGCGTTTGCTGCGCGCGCCAAGCAGGTCTCCACCACAGCCAAAGTCAACACGGTCAGTGAAGGATGGGAGGAGGTGGGCAGTGACGGGGGAAGCGGGCAGTGACGGGGGAAGCGGGCAGTGACGGGGGAAGCGGGCAGTGCACGTGAGCGGGTAGGGGTGGGGAGTGGAGCTTTCGAGTTGACTCAAAGGGCACTCCACTGCATGCACCAAGCAGGTGTTGTTAGTCCGCACAGCCGTGCTGTGCACTGTGAGCGCTGCTGCTGCATGCCTCGCGGAGCACACACGCAACAACCTGGCGTTTGCTGCGCGTGCCAAGCAGGTCTCCACCGCAGCCAAAGTGAACACGGTGAGTGAAGGGACTGGGCTTCAGGTCTAGGCGCAACTCTTGTCCAAGGGGTCTGGTGGACAAGCAGGTCTCCACCACAGCCAAAGTGAATACCGTGAGTCAGTGATGGGAATAGTGTCGTGTATAGGCACCTCAAGAAAAAGAATCGGTCGCTTCTCTCAGGCCAAGCATGTTTCTATCCACCATGGAACACGGTGATGGGAGCAAGGGTGAACAAGGTCAGTGATGGGAGGAACCGGGTGGTGCGGGTGGGTTGGTCGAGGAATGGAAGTGTTGATGGTGACTCAAAAGTCTCCTCTGTTTACTCTGTTTGAGTGGGCTTTTCTGTCACACATGTGCCTGGCCGCTTTACTCTTTTCGTGTCTGGCCTTTGGCCGCTTCCTCCATGTGGCCTCAGTCAGGCATCGGACGGCTCACCAGAGTTTGTTTGCACGCGTGTGTACGGGTGTGTGTTGTGTGCTTGTGTGAGTGCGTGCGTGTGCGTGCGTGCGTGCACGCATGTGCATGCATGGGTGTGCATGCATGCGCGCGTGCGTGCGTGCGTGCGTGCGTGTGTGTGTGTGTCTCTGTCTGTGTGTGTGTGTCTGTGTGTGTGTGTGTGCACGCAAGTGTGTTTTTACGTGTGCGTGCATGTGTATGCGTATGTGCGAGCGTGCATGCATTTGTGCGCGCATGAACTCTCAACAGGTGGAGTCAGGTCAAGTGAAGGTGATTCGGCAGCTGCAGCAGCAGGTCAAGCTGCTGGAGAGCAAACTGAAGGGCGTGGAAGAGGAGAGGCAAAAACAGCAGCAGCAACAGAAGCAGCAGACATTGAATGAGGAGGCAGGTGGGAGGAGGAGGAGCAGCGAGGGTGTATCGGGAGCAGCAGCAAGGCAGCTGATATTGGAGTACGAGGAAGCAATGGCTCAGTTAGAAGCAGAGAAGGAGGAGGTCAGTGGAATGGGGGCATGGCAATCTCTTATGCGCCTTACAAATTGCACCCACACACACCCATGCTTCTGCAGTCACGCACGTTTCTAGCAGTCCTAGTTCATGTATCTCCCGTCTGATCTGGGCACACAACGTTCCTACATCAGAGCTTTGGTGGGCTGCTGCCGTTTCCTCTATTTCTCTTCCTCTAAACCCCCCCATTTTCCCCGGCTTGTCCCCTCCCTCTTACCCTCCCCCTCAGCTGTACACGCGTGTACCCCAGATTAAACTTATTCCTGTTTGAGAGCACCGTTTGAGAGACAAGCCCCGGTCTTGGTTTTTTAGAGACAACCTACTCCCCGCATTCTCCCCTCTCTCATCCCAACACTCCCTTCCCCATCACAGCTGTACGCGCATCTGTCACGTGCTCTGTTGCAGAGGGATGAGGCGCGGTGCACGGTGGCAGCGCAGCAGAGGGAGGTGCGGGCCATGCGGGAGCAGAGGGAAGAGCGAGGTTCAGTGCTCTTAGAAACGCCCAATCGCGCCCCTCCCCCCTCTTGACCCCTCCCTTCTCTTCTTTTCCCGCTTCCCCCCTTTCCACCCATCCCTCCCGCTCCAAACCTCCAATCTCCTTCCCTTCAGCTGTACGCGCATCTGTCACGTGCTCTGACTCAGCGGGATGAGGCGCGGTGCACGGTGGCAGCACAGCAGAGGGAGGTGCGGGCCATGCGGGAGCACCTGGTGCTGCTGCAGTGGCAGCTGGAGGAGGGTACGGGGAGCGAGGAGAGCGAGGGGAGTGAAAGGGGCGAGGGGGACGAGGGGAGTGTGTTGGAGGTGGATGGTGCAGAGGACGGTGAGGTAGAGAGTGGTTTGGACAGAGGAAGTGGTGTGGAGAGAGCAGCAGGACGAGGTTTGTTGCAACTGAGTCAACAGCGAGAGGGGGGTGATGAGGGGGAGGGCGGGAGGCAGGGAAACGAGGAGGCTTCGAAAGGAACGGTTGGAGAAAGAACTGCAAGCCGTGTGGCTAGCTGTGTTGGATCTCAAGCAAGAAACAGCAGTGGGAGGGTGAGTAGCAGCAGCAGAAGAAGCAGGAGTTGGAGGAACGTGAGTCAATCAGGGAGGGCGAGTCCTGTGCCTCCTGCTCGTCCACCCAGCGCCACCCACAGTCTCTTCAGAAGTAGCTTCTCTTTCACCGATCCTGATGGCACTCTTCTGTTGCAGCAGCAGCAGCAGCAGCGAGATCAAGAGCAGGTGGGGACGGAAGGGTACATTGATATTGCTGCCTGCCCCAGCGATGGGCGAAAGTGCAATGGGCCTACGGGAGGGATGATTCTGGGGAGCGAGAGCAATGCTGCTGACACTGCCAACGCTGCCGACGACGGTGTTAACGGTGGTGGCTCTGTTTCCACTCGACGGTATGTGTGGCGTTTACAAATAAAGAAACGTTCATTTACAGATTGTCTGGTTTTCGGCTCGCTGCCACACAACATCACATCACATCACATCTCACATCACATCCCAGCATCTTCCATCCCATTTTCATCCATACCCCTTCGCACTGCAAGCATGCTTCTTCTGAACGGTTAACCATGCCATAACCCTTTTCCTTTTCCCCGTTACCCTCACCCTTTCTGCCTTTCTAACCATCTCTGTTCAGCAGATAACCCTTACCAAATCCGTGCCCTCTAACCCCACCCACCCTCTCCTCTCGCGCTCTTGTGAGCAGCAGCGACTATGCGAGGCGAGCGTGGGTGCAGCAGCTGCAGCGGCTGGCGACGATGGGCGAGAGGATGGGGCAGCAGGATGCGAACAAGGCGTTGCTCGCACTGCAGGCAGAGATTCACTCCCTCTGGCTCTCCGCCTCTGCTTCCCTCTCTCCCTCTGCCTCTCTCCGAACCTCTGCTGCTGCTGCTTTTGCTGTTACTGCTGATCAACCTACTGGTGCTCCCATTGCTGCTGGTGCGGCGGCTGCAGCTGGTAGTGGTGCGGCTGAATTTCCTACTGAGGCCCCGCGAATCTCTGCTGCTTCATGTGCTGTGGTGGAGGGTGCAGCGCGTAAGAGTGGTTGTGCCACTGCTGCCCCAGACGCACCGTGCTACAGGTATCCGAACAGTACTAGCGCCAGCAGCAGCCCTCTCTTCAGCCTCCCACTTACCGCGCTGCCACTGCCACCACCATCACCGCCCGCTCTCTTCCTTGGACCTCCAGAAGCAGCAGCAGAAACAGTGGGAGGGATGATAGAAGAAGCAGCAGAGGCTGCAGGGGTAGCAGAGGCTGCGGGGGTAGCAGAGGCTGCGGGGGTAGCAGAGGCTGCGGGGGTAGCAGAAACAGCATCAGCATCGGCTGCAGCAGCTGAGACTCGTATCAGCCTGTCGAACGCGCAGGGAGAAGCACAAGTTGTGGCTGAAAGGGAGCAGGGGGAGGAGGGACAGAGGGAGCAGGGTGAGGGGGGACAGGAGGAGGAGGAGGAGGAGGAGGAGGAGCAAGGGCAGGGGCAGGGTGAGGAGCATGAGGAGGAGGAAGAGGAGGAGGACCCATGTGCGGCTATCCCTCGGCTGGAGCGGCAGCTGCAGCGAATGCAGCTGTCTGTACGAGGCATGCTGGCTGTTGCTGCTGCTGCTGCTGCTGCTGCTGATCCTGCTCCTGCTTCTGCTTTTCGGACAAGCAGCGATGATTCCGGTGCAGCTGCTGGGTCAAGTGCTCGTGGTTTGCTGAATCCTGATGCTGCTGTTACGCTTGCTGCTGCTGCACCTGCACCTGCAGGTGCTGATGATTATTCATCAAACCCTGGTTCGAATCATTCTGCTACTGCTGGTGCAGCATCCAGCACATTAGCACACACGACCGCTCCCGTGGTGCATGGTGGCATGGCACTGGCTAATGGTATGGCTGATGGCATGGCTACTGGGTTGGCTGAAAACTCGGTGGATGGTTTAACAGCAACGGCTGATGCTCCTGCTTTTGCTTTTGGCACCGCTGCCATTCCAGATACCGAGGTTGGTGCGAGTGCTGCATCTCCCCGTCGCTCCATCCCCTCTGCCTCGTCCTTCTCCCCCTGTGTGTCTGCGTCCCTCACTGCCTCCTCCTCCTTCTCCCTCGCGCTTGCCCTCGCTTCACCTGCTCGGTTCTCTCCCAGGGTCGTTGGGAGTATGGAGGCGCCTCAAAAGTCACTCTCTGGCTCATCTCCCTTCCCTTTCGCTCTAGATCCACCTGCCAGGTTTTCTCTCGGGGGAGTTGGGAGTGAGGGGAGAGGCAGGGAGAGCGGGGATGGTGGTGGTTACTTTGGTGCTGGTTTGATGCGTGTTGTGGGAGGGGATGAGGAGAGGCATGGGGTGGACGAGGTGGGGGAGAGTCGGGTGGGTGGGTGGCAGGGTAGCATGATGAGGAAGGGAGGCGAGGCAGAGGAAGGAGATGAGGGGGGAGTCGGAGAGGTGGGAGAGGAGGGAGGGGAGGGAGATGAGGGAGAAAGAGAGTGGGCGGAGGAGGGAGCGGGTGAGGAGAGGCAGATAGCGGAGGAGAGGCATGTACGTGGATGGGAGGGTGGAGAGGAGCAGAGAACACTGGGAAGGGTGGGTGGAGTGGAGAAAGCAGAGGAGGGTTTCGAAGAGACGGAGAGTAAGGGACACTCAGTTGGAGAGGGGAACACGGGAAAATTCAAGGAGCGGGAGAAGGAGAGGCGAGGAAGACGGCAAGTAACAGCGACAGCAGCATTTGCAGCAGCGGCACCGGCAGGGGAGCAGGAGCATGAGCAATGGGAGGTGCGCGGAGCACTGGGGAGCAGCAACAGCAGCGGGGGAAGCAGGGGCAACAGGGGCAGCAGCAGGGGCAGCATGCAGCAGGTGGTGCAGGCAGCAATGGATCGCAACATGGCAGCCATCCGTGTGTACGTGGGCGAGCTGAAGGAGCGCATTGCCAAGCTGCACTTCCAGAAACAGCTGCTGCTCTGCCAGGTGCGGAGGGGGGAGGGGGCTGGGAGTGAGGGGGGCTGGGTATTTGCTGTGGCAGGTGCAAGCGAGGTGGGTGCTGTGGCATGTGCGAGGGGTGTGCTGTGGCAGGTGCTGTGGCCATCCGTGTGTATGTGGGCGAGCTGAAGGAGCGCATTGCCAAGCTGCACTTCCAGAAACAGCTGCTGCTGTGCCAGGTGCGGAGGGAAGGGGATTTGGGTATTTGCTGCGGCAGGTGCAAGCGAGGTGGGTGCTGTGGCATGTGCGAGGGGGTTTGCTATGGCTGGTGGGTGCTGAGGCAGGTGGGTGCTGAGGCAGGTGGGTGCTGAGGCAGGTGGGTGCTGAGGCAGGTGGGTGCTGAGGCAGGTGGGTGCTGAGGCAGGTGGGTGCTGAGGCAGGTGGGTGCTGAGGCAGGTGGGTGCTGAGGCAGGTGGGTGCTGAGGCAGGTGGTTGCTGAGGCAGGTAGGTGCTGTGGCCATACGAGTGTATGGGGGCGAGCGCAAGGAGCGAGTCACCAAGCTGCACTTGCAGAAACAGCTGCTGCTCTGCCAGGTGCGGAGGGGGGTTGGTTGGGTGCACTGTGGCAGGCGCCGATGGGGGGGGGGGTTACTGTGTTGCTGTGGTACGCAAGCAGGCGGCAGGGAGGATTGTCTGGGACGTGGCCATGTGCTAACATTAAACCCGTAACCCTGTGTGTGCTGGAACTAAGAACGTTATGAGTATTATCTATTGAGCCTATGGCCATCCTTTTCTGCTGACTTCCCTTCCTTTTTTTGCGCTCCTCTCTTCTCCGTCCCTCTCCTCTTCATCCCTTTCCACTCCTCCGCTTCTCTCGCGTCTTCACCATTCCACCCCCTTGCCTCGCCTCCCCTCCCGTCTTTTCTCCTTGCCCTCCTCAATCGCAGGTCTTTCCTGGAGCTTGATGCTGAGAAGTGTAGGTGTTGTTTACAATTCAAAGTGCACCCATCGCCTCCTATCCAACAGTCCCCACCGCACCCATCCCCTCCTGTCAATACCGCAGGTGCTCGAGATGGAGGCAGAGAAGGAGGGCCAGCTGCTGCTGCAGGGTGTTCCTTATGGTTCTAATAACACCCCTTCCGTCCAACTCCCCACCTCTACCGCAGGTGCTCGAGCTGGAGGCAGAGAAGGAGGGCCGGCTGCTGCTGCAGCAGGCGGACAGGGGCAGGAAGGTGGGCGGGCGGTGGGGCCACGATAGGCACAGCAGGCAAAGAATGACGTGGCAGGGGGAGAAATGGCGCGCAGTGCATGAGGGCATGGGCGTGGGGATGGGCGTGTGGGGAGTGCGTGCAGGGGCAGGCATGGCACGTGAGTCTGACGTGGCATTGGGGAGAGTGGGGCTGGAGAAGATAGAGGAGGGGCGGAGTGGGAGGGAGGGGGCGGAGGGAGGGTTTGGAAGAGGGGATGATGGTAAAGAGTGGCCTGGTGATGCTGCTGCTGGTGCTGCTGTCGTTTCTGCTGCTGGTGCTGATGTGGCTGCTGGTGTTGACACTGCTGATGATGTTAAATCTGCTGCTGGTGTTGACACTGCTGATGATGTTAAATCTGCTGCTGGTGTTGACACTGCTGATGATGTTAAATCTGCTGCTGGTGTTGATGCTGCTGCTGATGACAGTGGTTCGGGAGGGGAAGGGTTTTGGTACATGAACGCGAACGTGAGGGGGGGCGAGAATGATTGCACGGGAGAAGCAGAGCCAGAGGGGGAGGGAGGGGCGAGCATCGTGGAAAGTGAGGAGAGAATCAGCAATCAGGGGCCTGCAAGTGGGGGAGAGCAGCGGGCGAACAAGTGTGGAGAAGCAAGTGTGGTGAACAATGCAAATGACACTCCAGCACCAGCAACAGCAACAACAACAGTAACAGCAACAGAGACAGCTGCAGCAGCAACAGAGGCGGAAGCAGCAGAGGAGGTGGGAGCAGCAGAAGCGGCGGCATCAGCAGCAGTGCCGGTGGAGTGTTTGCTTGCAGACATCATCACCATGTGGCACGCATGCCACGTGCCCCTGCTGCGGCGCTCCCAGGTGCTGCTGGCTGTTATGGGGAGCTGCATCGAGGGCGGTGCGATGGGTAGTGTGAGGGGCAATGCGTTGGGTGATGGTAATTCTGTTGTGCGTGGTGATGCTGCTGGCAGCAGGCGCGACGGAGACATGAGGCGTGGAGGAGAAGGGGTGCAGGCGAACAGGGAGAGGAGGGCGAGTGGGGGGAGTGGTGCAAGTGGGGGGAGTGGTGCAAGTGGGGGGAGTGGTGCGAGTGGGGGGAGTGGTGCGAGTGGGGGGAGTGGTGCGAGTGGAGTGAGCAGGGTGCATGTGGAGGTGGAGTGGCGGCACATGCGATGGCTGCACGGGCAGCTGCATCTGCCCTGCAATGCGGGGTGGCTCAGGTACGAGGAGAAGAGATCACAGGTGAGTGGTACAGTGCGTTTTGAGGCGTCGCGACGCTTCGTGAGGCTCCTGCCTGCCATCCCTCCTCTTTGTACCATTCGTTTCTGTTTTCCGCAAGCCCTCTCTTAGTCCCAAAAACACCCGCTCCATCTCTCTTCCCTCCTCTCCCCATCACCCCCTTCCCCTCCCTCCACTCCTCTCATCTCAATCTCCCAATCAGCCGGCGGCAGCAGCAGGTGCAGCAGGAGAGGACAGCCATAGTCAAGCACATGAAGCGCCACCTATCCTCTGCACACCGCCTCTCTCTCTTCCTTCTCTGGGGAATCGACCCTGCCTCTCGCCACCGCTGCTCCCAGCTCACCCTTTCCATCTGGCCTCCCCTTCCTCCTCTGCCTTCCGCTTCTCCTCCTCCTCTTCCTCCCCCTCCTGGTCCCCCTCCGCTTGCTTCCGCATCGGCCTCTGCTGCACCTGCAGCAGCCGCTAACCCAGCTGCATCTGCTGCATCTGCTGCTGTGACTGGAACTGCAACTGCAATTGCAACTGCAACAGCGACTGCAACTGCGACTGCAACAACGACTGCAGCGACCGTGACAGCGGCTCGTGCATGCATTCACACGGCACACGCCAGTGCACGCGTGGTCGCAGCAGCTCTCTTCCACCCACCCACACCGCCGCCACCTCATCCGCCCTCCCTTCCTACTACCGCTGCTCGCGCACAAGCCCACCCTCCATCTGCCCTTGTCCCCACTGCCGACACTGATCACACTGCGAACGGTGGCAGCAGCAGTAGCAGCAGCAGGAGGGGGCGTGGCGATGCTGCCAGTGGGAGCGGCAGCACAGGGCATGAACATGCACCACGTCCACAGAGTTTAGCAGCAGCAGGCTGGATTCACACTCAGGGGCCTGGAGCTGCTTCTTCCAGTAGCAATCAAGGTGTGCTTTCTTAGGCGCTTCAAAAATGGGCACAGGGTTTAGCACCCGCAGGCTTGATTCACACTGAGGGGTCAGGAGCTGCTCTTTTTGGTAGTAATCACGGTGCGGGCTTGGGAGGGCTGCTGGGTCTGATGCGTTTGAGGGGACTGACGGAGATGCTAAGACAGGTTGCAGCAAAACACGGAGCAAGTACTAGCCTTAATGGCTCCCCATTTCTCGCTCTTTGTCGTCTTCTTCATTTTGACATGCGTTTCTCCCTGTCGCTTTCGATTACTCTTCTCACTTCTCTCTCCACCGCTCTTTTTCTCCTCCCCTTGTTTTTCTTCTCCCGCTATGCGAGTCAAACCCCCCTTCTCAGGACAGCCCATGCATTGCAGCTGAGGCTGGGAAAGGGGAAACGTTCTATCTCCACTACCTGTTCCCGCGCTTTCCCTCTTCCTCCCCGTTTCCCTCCTCTCCTGTCCTCTCCACCGCCTCCCCTCCCCCTCTCAGTGCCAGCATACTGAGCAGGGCTCAGGTTGGTGAATGAGTGGGGTTATTTTTAGTTACCCTTCCTGCTTGCTCACTCTACCCTCCCCCTTTTCCGCTCACCCCCCCTCCTCCCCCTCTCGCCCCTCTGCCCCACTCTCCTATGTCCATGCTCCTCTCCCCTCTTTCCTCTCCCCTCCCACCCCTCTCAGTGGCAACAGGGGTGCTAGAACTGCGGATGGTGGAGGGAGGGAGCTCTTTCCTTCCTTCCTTTTCCCTCTATGCTCCCCATCTCCTCTTCCCCCCCACCCCCGCTCTCTCCCTTCGCACCTCCCCCAGTGGCAGCAGAGGCGCTAGAACTGCGGATGGTGGAGGGAGGGCCGCAGGGGCATTGGGGAGGCGCAACTGAGGCGGGAAGCAGGGGCAAGGGCAGGAGTAAAGGGGGAGTGGCGGGGTGGAGGTGGTGGGTGGGGAAGGGCGCTTCTGTAAGGCCTGACCCCGATGCTGCGTGACTTGGTATTCATTCACGTTCTGAATCTCGTTCATGGCTCATGTCAGCGCATTTGACAATTTGAAAGGATCCACTATACACAGTAATCCGCTTTGTACAACAACTGTCTCAGATGGTGCATATTAGTGAACCTACGGTTAAACTACCAGTAAGAGAACTGACTACACATCCTGACTAGCAGCAGCATGCCATTTAACATACTACAGTTGGTTGCAATAGCAACACCAGAAATGTCTACTTACCCATAGCCGCTGGGGCAGTCGCTGCTAATGGTGCTGCACTAGCTGATGCAGTTGCTACTGCTGCAGCCACTGACGAGTGTCGCTACTCCTGTTGGCCCTGCTGCTGCAGCTGTCTCAGCTGCTCCTGACATGCCTCCATCCACGCATTTACTTTATCCATGGCTTGCTGTAATTCCTCCAGTGCCCTCTGCCTATGCAACTCCTGCTCCCTCTCCTCCATTGCTTCCCCCTCCCTCAACTTTACCCCACCAGGAGCTAATACTCCATCCACTTTCTTTGCATCCTCTTCTTCCTCCCTTTCCTCCTCTTCCTCCCTCCCGCCTGCTTGCTCATTCTCATCCTGGTCTCCATCAGAAACGAACTCTTCCTCTTCTTCTGTCTCACCCAAACCTTGCTCCGCTCTCACCTCTCCCCACCTCTCCTTTCCCACGGGCTGCAGCCCTCCACGTGGCGTCACAGGAGCGCTGCCGGGTGGCGGAAGCGCATTGGTCAACAATGGACTCGCTGTTGACTCACCGCCCATTTCCATCTGCAGCATCTCCGCCCGCCCGAACCTCGACGGGAACCTTGACGGCCGGTCCGGAGAGGAGGTTCGGTGGCGCCGAAGCTCGCGACTGGTAACCCGACCAACATGGCTCGTTTCAGTTCGCGCGCATGCTGGCGACGGACAAGGCATCCCAGCCAGTGCAATCGCTGCAGCAGCAGACAGCCGCGCCGCCTCATCCTCTTTGTCTTTTTGCTTCCCGAGTCCGTGCCCTTGCCCGTCGTCCGCCATTCCCCCCCTGCCGCTGATCGTCGTTCGGTCCGCCGCTCCGCCGATTGCGCCACCCGCTCCGTTTGCCGCACCCGCGCCCGCAAAACCCGCGCCAGTGGCAGCGCTAGCACCGCCGTTAGACGGCGCGATTGCTGCAGCTGCAGGTGCGGCACCGGACGCTACCGCTGCTCGCCCCTCCGCCTCCGCTCCCCCGCGCGGCGATCGCACCGCCGCGCTCCCCCTCTGCCGCAGCCGCTGCTTCGCTATCGATCTCGAAGGCGACGCGCTTCCGGGGAGCTGCATGGGGTCGCCGCCATTTCCGGCAAGGCGCGCGGAAACCTCTCCGCCAGCAAGCCAAAGTCCGCGCAGCTGCTGCTTCGCATCCCGCTCTCGCTCCGCCTCAGCGCGGCAGATGGGGCAGCGGCACCGCGCCTTGGAACTCACGGGCGCCGCGAAAGCCGCCTCTTCCGCCGCCGCTTCCGCGTGCGGTTTCTGCCCGCCGCCTCCGCCCCCGCCGCCCCGTTTGCCGGCCTTTGCTGCAGGAAGCGCGGACAAGCAGTACGTGCTGCCAGGGTCGAGGCGCGTGGCGGGATCAAGCGGCGCGCAAGGGGCGGCGAGCGCGACGAGATCGTGGTTGGGGAAATCAAGTAGCACGTCCGCGACAGAGAGTGGCGCGTTATTACCAGCGGGCGAGGACGGCGAGGAAGGCGACGCGGCGTGGAGTTCCGAAGCAGACGAGGAATACATGCGCAGCGACCCATCCTCTAGAAGGACCATCACGGGCTCTACCGCATCTGCCGCCGTCGATTCCGCTGCTGGCGCGGCCCTCCCCGTCGCCGCCCCCGCGGTGGCGGCAGTGGGGGAGAGTGCGCTGGGGGAGAGGTGGCGGTGCAGCGTGCGGATGCACGCGCGCGGCGGGTGCAGCAGCCCGGCGGCGACTTTCGCGCCCCATCTCGCGGCGACGAACGCGGCGGCGGCGCGTCTGCCGCTCCCCGCAGTGGTTGTCGTCGCGGAGGTGGTGGTGCTGTGGCAGCCGTTGCTGCTGGCGACGCTGCTGCCGCCGCAACTCGCGGTATCGAATTTGCTGCCGCCATCGAACGCGTCTGCAGCGCCGCCGCCGTACGCGGCCATTGCGGATTGACCGGCCGGCGAGGCAGAAGACATTAACGCGATGTCGACGTTGCTCGTCGGGAAGGGCTGCATTTGGAGAATGGCGTTCCCGGACATTGCGGCGCGATGGGCGGAGCAGGGGCGTGTTACGCAGAGGAGACGGGAGAACGGGGAGAGGAGTGCGAGGAGGAAAGGAAATGGCGAAAAACGAAAAGACGATGGAGGAAGCAAGCAGAGTTGTCACTCCGTGTGTGTGACGAAGCTTGTTATCGTTGCCCTAATACACGCGGAACGGTTGGGACGTACTGGTGGGTGCAGTGGCGGTGGGACCCTATTTTGATGCTGTGCTGTGCGATGCTGGTGGTGGTGGTTGGCCTTCCTTCTGTTGAACGAAAGTGGTGCAGCAAACCCTGCCTCAACCTCTTTGAAAGTGCGGAAGGCGAGGGAGCAGGTAAAGAGAGGACGGGACAGTGAGGGGGTATGAGGCAAGGCGAGGAGGGGGGAGGCGAAGGGAGGCGAGGCGAGCAGTGGTGTGGAAATGGCGAGAGGTGGTTGGTTGAAACTTGGGGGGGATGAATGCGGGGGGTGCAGGTCAGGGGAGCGGCAAGCAAATGCAATGCTGCTGCTAGGTATCGGGGCGGGTGTGAGGGCGAGGGCAGCAGTGGCAAGAGGCGAGTTGTCCATTTTGGGTAGTTTTGCAGCCGGGGAATCGGGTGGGCGAATCTGTGTGTGCGTGTCGTCAACTTCATTCGCCTTCCCTTGTCGAACGCTGCTACCTCACTCGTGTCTTTCGCTGCTGCTTCATGCGACGCATGGGAAAAGGTGGACGTTTAACCAGGTTACCCTAACCTCAGTTTCAGCAGCGCAGATCATTGCTGGTGTACCGACATTAAATCGATTAGTTTTACGATACTAAATCGACGCGATCAGGAAAAAGTGTACCGACAGGTGTACTGTACGACTTCCGAAATTCCGATTGGACGGAAACCGTGTTGGCTGCCCAACCACTTCGGCAACACAGCGCTTCGTCAGTGTGTGAGTCATTCATCACACCCCACCCGCCCACTCTCCGCGCCCTTCCAAAATTGTCATCGCGCAAACGTACGGATGGACGCAGCACACCAGTCCGTTTTTTGTGTACGATGTGCTTCAGTATTTGTTTTTCCACCTTCCCGTCCCGTCTGCTGAGAATTTGCAGGATGAAGAACTTTTATTTAGCAACATGATTCGTACCTGCGTTCCCATTCCCTCGTTACAAACAGATTTATTCCCTTGGGGCAGGTTGGCATGAAGCCAGGGCAAGCTGGGAACGAACACATCATCTAAGGCTGGGAGAAAGGCGAAGCACGATCAAGGACAAAGACGGCCGTTTTATCGCGAGATTAGAGCGTAACAGTCTTCGTAACAGGGCCGCCCAATGCATGTCAGAACAAATAACGTCGGTAACGGGCGCCATCATCCACCGATAAGCGGGACTTGCTATGAACAGTCACGTCTCGAATCATGTATCATGCTTATGAATGCCACATATATCAGAAAACAATTCCTGTTTTTTTTTCTAAAATTTATGTAAGATTTTAGGATGTTAATTGTAAGGAATTTTCCCGAATTCCTTATCGGGGTTGACTGCTGCGTATACAGCCCCGAGTTTCGGACTCGGCACGTTTGGCTGGCATCAACGATGCCGAGGCTCCTCGCGTCGCCTTCGGCTTTTCCCTTCGCCAAGCCTGCACCAAACCTCGCTCACCCGAGGTTCCCTCCTAGCTAGGCTAGCCACTACATTAGCGCGTGCCTTCATTGTATTCGCAGTCGATTCAATCACAATCTCATTATTCGTTAAACTGAGCACTCCCTTTTAAAACTTATAACACCTAGTATCAGAGCCACTTCCCTTGTTCACCCCGCTTTTCGAATGTAGTTTGGTGGCACGGGTGTGGCTGGCAGTTGGCTGCAAGGTTTGTTGATTCAATTCTGCCCGACTCCGATAGTTCATGTTTTCCACTTACTTGAAGGCCACGGGTACCTGGTTGCCCACCAGACGAGTGCGAGACTTATAGACCAGGAAGCAGTTAACAAGTTGATGGCGCAAGTGGCTGAAATGTAGAAGAACATGGAGTCGTTAATGGCAGAAATTGTTAGAATCTAGAATAGAACGAGAATGAATGAACTAGCAGGAAGGTGGGTACAAGTATGAAACCCTAAGTTTGTGTACCCTCTAAGGCTAAACCCACTATAGCCTACACAATATAAACATACAATGTTTGACACACCCCCATAGGCGAAGTGGGAGACAACCAGAGGGTCACAAGACCAGTCAAAGCAAAGCAAAGCACAACAGGCTCAGGGTGGATCTCAAGGATACCACACAAATTCCGAGCACAAGCAAGCGGTAGAAGACCAGTTCACATGCAGTTTGATAATATAGCAAGAGATACAGTGATCGCAACCTAGCAAGTGTAAACATGCAGGTATATATATAGAGATCACAGTACAAACAGAGTCAAGAAGTAAGCAAGTGAGGTCCAGCAGGCACAAGGCCTAGAAGAGTACAGAAGCGCTGATGGTCACAAGGCTGAAGCGCCTTGGTGAACACATCAGCAGTGTTGGCCTCAGTGGCCACGTAACGCAGACGAAGCTGACCGCGCTGCTGCAGCTCTCGAGCAAGGAAGTACCGCAGGGCGATGTGCTTCGTTCTGTGCTCCAGTCTGTGCTCCTCACACAAGGCAATGGCAGCCTTGTTGTCGACGTACAGCACTGGAGGAGAACGAGGCCGCTCTCCGAGGTCGGTCAGCAGGTAGGTCAGCCAGCGTAGCTCCTGGGCCGCCATGGCTGTGGCGTAGATCTCAGCCTCACAACTGGAGCTGAGAACAGAAGAAGAGCGTGTAGAACGCCAAG